TTATAAGCACTTATAAGGACCGCTACGAACCCTGGTAATGGCTTTGTCTTTTCTCCATGATATATCGCTGAAAGCAGAATGTGCTGCAGAATTCTCTATGAGAAACAATCATTCGGACAAAAATGGAAAAATGTTATCACAACAGATGAAGGATACACTTAAATGACCACAATAAAAATAGATCCATTTATAACCATCAAAAAGAAGAAAAAAAATCTTAGAACATGATTCAAAGAATCTAAAGAAAGTTGTTGTTGGTTTTTGATATAGTGACAAATAAAAATTAAAGGAGAGCAGAAAACTGTTAAGGTCAACTCAACATATTATCAGAAACATATTTTAACTCCAATTTTTAAATATGAAATATCTTCTCTTTACCCACAGTGCCATCAATCAGTACAGCCACATCAAGACAAAGCAAGCAGCCACATGTCAAAATCCACTGTTAATTTCATGGAAAAAAATGGAGCAAGAATTGAGTGTCAAGGCCATACCTTTCACTCATAATCCCTACTAAATCTCCCGATATATCATACACGGATTTTTGCGCTTTTGACTTTTAAAAAGCGGATTGTTCAGACTTCGACCTACAACCCTCTTTGGACTTTGGAAAACTGTTCAAGAGGAATAGGATAAAATACCTCTTAGGCTACTAAAAAAAGCTTTATTGTTTCGGAAATTATGGTGTAAAAAGATAGTGAAGAAAGAGGCTTATGAAATGGAACATTCAAAACACAAAAATTTTAGGTAAAATATTTCTGTAAATACAATATAAAAAATCTAAAAAATATAGCCTTAGTATATATATATATACACACACATTTTTCGTACTGCCAATTGCAGCAAGAAAGGGAGGTGTAAAAATTAGATACTATAGCAGTCCAATATACAAAATTTCAATGTTCTATGGCTAATTATTTTTTAGTTATGCAAGATACGTACGTACAGACTTCATGCAAGATACATACATACATATAGACGTCCAGAAAAAACAATCCATTTTGGAATGAAGAGTCCTTTATTCTTTCTATATGCATAGACGTCACACAAACAAATGGTCAAAATGGATTTAAAAACTGTCAAAATGGATAAAAACTGTCAAAATGGATATTTGCATTGAAATCTGAAATTTCTCATGATTACAATACTTCCTTTACTTTATACAAGGAAGTAAAAATCGAGCTTAAGTACATCCTAAAAATTATTGCTAATATTAGTTTGTGATATAAAGCAAATTAAGAATTTCTTTTGAAAGAAAAATTCCAAAAGTAAAATAGGCTGGCTGCATGAAACCTTACTACTGGATCTTACTACAAGAAATAAGATATACTTACCATGCTAAATAAGTAGTAGCTGGCTTCAAATCATTTAAATCACACTCAGTTTCTTTTCCACTGTTTAAAACATATTATATATATATATTTATACACACACACACACATATATACAATTTTAAAACAGATTTTTTTCTATTTTATAATTCAAACAGAGTTAATGCACTGAAATATTTTACTGGTATTAATCTATATCTCATAATTACTTTTATAATATAATATTTTAGTAATATATATTTATTATTCTTAAATTAAAATATAATTATTTTTAATTTCTGAAAAATTTAATATTAACACTCAAAAACATAAAAAAGTTCCAAGTTGCCTTCATATGCTTGGCGGGGTAATATGCAGGGACAAACATTATAATATCAATTTGGAATTTTTTTTAATTTTAATCTGACATGTTAACCCCCTTTGTGGAGGGTATGTGACATATACATCAGTTGTCAACTGTTTCACAGAGATGGGTGTGTCATGTATGAATTGCCATTTAAATGCACTATTAGAACTGGTGGCACACACTGAATTTTCAGATACAACATTTAATTAGAGTCTTTCCTCATTAAATATGAGATGGCTCATATAAAATAATATATGGCACTTTCTAATTATCTGCAATCCTACCGAAATATTATGAATTTGCTGGTGACTTTGAAAAGTATTCACAGACTCGCTGGTAACTTAATTTTTCACTAAGCTAATGCATGAAAAACAATAGCCATTTTCAAAATGGTGGTGCACTAAGAATTCAATACAAAAGCAATCAATCAATAAAATTTTAAAATCAAGATTAATTGAAAATACAATACTTACCTTTTTTAATATTACTTTGTTCGCTGTTGCTGTTCTCATGGACACGGTGGTGTTTTTTCACTTAAAAAAATTCCATAAATTACACAAATTCTGCGTCCATATAATTTTGGTATCGTGCACTAGCTAAAACAGATATATGCTACATGCATACCAGCTTACTACATAAATAGGTTCCATATTGCTATACTTGAAGATTACTTTTTCACGATTTTTCAGTGAGGATGCAGATAATCAGAAAATACTAAAATTACTTCTTTCCCACATTAAATTTAACAACAGAGTGCATAAGAAAAAGAAATTATTTTCTTTGTAATACATACACAGTTTGTATCTACAAAATTTTAGAATTAATTATTAACAAATTCCAAAAGCCTGCTAAACAATAATTTTTTACAGTACTTGTATTTAAGACACATCACTTTTCCAACAATTTTGTCTGTTTATGGATAGAACCTGTAGTTTATTATTTATCTTGATCTGCAGCAGATCTGTTATAAATTTTTAAAGCTGAGTGAAGGAAGCGATAAATTTTGCTGTAAAAGAAAGAAAAACTACAACTATCATTTAAAACGTTGTGTAAAGCATCCAAGGAAAAAAACATAACTATGGTTCATCATATTTAATTGTTATGGAGAATTTCAACACAAATGCAAATACATGAATGATGAAGCTTGGCAACTTCACCCTCTCGAACAGATAACATCACAAAAATTCGGTAAAAGTATATTTTAGGGTACCCCTTGGCAATTTTTGGCGGTACATGGATACCGAGTTAGTGCAATTCTTTGACTTGTTATTTTGGCTTGCACAGCGGCAATTTTTGTGCCAAAAATTACGGCTACACAAAGGCAAAGAATTGCACAAACTTGGTATCCATGTACACAGCAACCTATTTTCACTTGAAAAAAAATTCCCAGAATTGCACAAAAATGGCATTGCACACTCCCTTCCTTGACTTTATCCATGTACACATCAACCTATTTTCACTTAAAAATCAGAGAATTTCACAAACTATGCCTTACGCACTCCCTGACTTTGTCCACGTACACATCGATACATTTTTCCTAAAACGTCAAAGAAGCACCAAATTCTACAATAAAGGCAAACAAATACATAATCTCAATAAACTACATATTAAACCGAACAATAAAATAACATAAAAAAGGAAAAACCTGTTATGCATTTAAGCACTACACAAAGCAAATATCGACTTACCTTATTTAGTGTTGTGGTGATAGTATTTGAAATCAAGTTAATTATTTTTCTTATTTAGGAAAATATTAATTTTTAATTCTTTGAATTACTATTGTAGTTTATTAATTCAGTATTCGGTTTTGAAAATACTTTAATTTTGGGGAAAAAACACAGATGCTTCTAGGAATATTATTTATTTTCTCTTATTTAAATTTATCCAAGATTTCTGCTCATTGTGAAAAGGATTCCGAATAGAAACGAATTTTTGTTAAGTCATTCTTTCGCAAGGTTGTTTTGTTCCAAGAAAAGTTGGAGAACAAATTTCTTTTGTGTAACTGACCTTTAGGACAGGATCTACATGACAGAAAGGTCAGTAGTTGCCACCTCACCTTCTCTGGGGGGTCATTTTTAGTTTGGCGATCGGAGTGCCCGGTTTGGCTAAGTGAGAAAAGGGGGCGCATGTGTAATGAACATATTTGGTTCCTTCAGGGCGAGAAACAGAAATTTAGTCCCAAAAGAGGGGGGGTGATAAATGAAGACATTATGGCAGACGTGTTTGCTGAAAGAAGTGAAGGAGGTTTTCGAGAAAAGGCACTTTTTGGGTTTCATCGTCAGGTGAGAAGTTGGTTCTTAATTTGCGCGACCTTTTGCTCGGTTGCTGCTTTTCAGGGAGCTGCTGTGATGTTCCCATTTTGCCTTCAACAAAAAACCCGAAATTCAAACTAGGACGTTTGCATCCGGAATGAAGAAGTCTTAAAAATAAGGAAGTTTGCTTCAGTCTGTGTTACTTCATAGCTTTATATGGCCAGGTTTTTCACATTAAGGGTGGTCGAGAATTACATTTCCTGACATGGCATGTGTGCGTGTTAAACAAGGCGAGATTTTATCTAGTTTCTTTCCATGCAAAGTGCGTTAACTATACCCAGAGTTGGTATTATTCAGTTCAACTCGGTATCATCGGTTTTCTATGATTGGAAATATCCACGTCAACTTCGTCCAAGTGAACTGAACTTCATAACTGAATGCAGGAAAATGTCATTGTTGCCGGGTCGAACGAGCCACACCAGCTTCTTAGCCACTATGAATCTTCGTGTTGAACGGGACCCAGACTGTTTCCTTAATAGTCAAGCCCTGTGGCAATATTTTGAGGATTTTTCTTCTTGTGGTTCTTCCATGTGTCTCAACGGCAGTCCAGTTTTCAGGTACCCACCTTTGGAATTAGTGCTTCACCATGGATCAACATATAAGTCCTTCTGTTACACATTTTTATTTACTCATTCTGTGTAAAACTTTAAATTAAGTTATAACGAAATATTTGTCTATTTTCCGCTTTCCTTACATAGACTAATGATTTGTCTGAAACTCCTCTTAATTGATAATGAAAAATCTTATTAAGTTAATTATAATATTATAATAAGTTAAATTTTTGTGAAATTGTTTTGCCCAGATTAAAGAATTTTTGGTGCAATCCAGAAAGAGGGTGTATTTTGACCCTTCTAAATTTTAGCGTAGTAGCTCTTGTTAAAAGTCAATTATTTAAGTCATCATAGTAATATAGTACCTAATAATCAAGTTAAATGTGAAAATTCAATAAGTGATCAAGTCAAATGAGAAAATGAAATAAATAATTGGAAAGCAACGTTAACAATAATGTGAAATTAAACACAAATATGAGGAGTCTGAATAAACTTACATTTAATGTGGAAATCTTATTATGTTTTCTTTTGTATATTGCTTTTACATCATTATCCGATTCTTCCTTTGAACGAGTTCCCGGAAAAAAGTCTTACTCACAACGCAAAGACTACATTTGAATAGGATCACAAACTATGTCTAAATTGCTAACCCTTATATATTTTATGATTTTCTTGGTTTACTAGTTAGTTAAATTAGAAGTAATAATAGTAGAGTTCTCGGATTCACCAAATAATATTGTGAACCTAAAAATTCACAATATTAGTTTTGGACGAATGAATTTCTAATGTAAAATATTGTGAACCTAAAAATTCACAATATTAGTTTTGGACGAACGAATTTCTAATGTAATACTGTGAAACCTAAAAATTCACAATATTACATTAGAAAATTGTTCGCCTTCAGTCTGTGGCACACAAAATTCCTTAGCAGCATCCAAAAACTTCCTAAAATTATCTGAACTAGAATCTGTATATCGGCGTCACCACAAAAATAAGAGTAAAAAATTTACTACGTAGTTTCGGACTGTCCGGGAAAAAGGCTGTAAGTAAACCCTCATTTACACACCAGTCAATTAATGCACTTTTCCCCTTTCATTCCAAATCATACAGGAACTTCAAATTAACCTTACTACATTCAGCCATTGTACCGTCTAAACAATGAAACAAGCAATGTGCTTCCTAGGCAACACACACCACAAAAGTCCTTGCAAAATATCCCACGATTCAAAATTTCCCGGAATAATGCAAACGATTATGTCATAATAGGGTTTCCATAACATTCAACTACTCAGGTTACCATAAATGATACAACAACTTGGCGATAAACAAAACAACAACTTGGCGATAAATGAAACAAAAACTTCACGATAATACAAGGGATACCCTAAAGTCAACTCTAACCCAAAAATTCAACAACTATCGCTGATAAACACAAGTTATGTCTCCAAATGAAAACTGATAAGCTTAATGTAAGTAACAGCATTGCTCAAAAAATTCTCACGAAAGATACTGAAAAACTAAAAATCTGTTCTCATTTTCTTCTGCTCATCATGCCATCACTCAATTCCATTCTCATCAGGTAGTTTCTTCCATATTCATCTGCATATATATGCAAAGCTTTGGACATAGACTGTACAATAAAAATAAAGGATAAGAAATACGAAAGTTGTTTCCTTCTTTAACTTAATATGAACTTAGTCCTTAAACTTTGAAGACACACCGTGTATACTAAATTTATCAATGCAGTGTCTTCGAAAACTAATAACACAGGTCTTACCTATATATTACTTTTGATTTATTATCTTTACTTTTATCACACAACAGCAAAATGTATTTTGGCTCAAAAGTAGGATCCTGGAGATCACCATCATTTTCAGTATTTAAGTCAAGTTTTGTCCATTTTAACAAGGCACTTGTAGCAGTTATATTGGAGACCTAAATGCAAATTCATTAAATATAAACATCATCAAATGACAGTTAAGATAAAAAATTTATATTAAAAGATGATACATTTGTAATGTATATTACGAAGGAGGACATTTTAAGTAACACAACATTCCTAACAACTACCAAGAAATAGAAAAAAATAACTTAATAGTAAGCTTTTATTTAAAATTCATGGAATAATCAACAAACTAAAAGAAGAAAAATAATTTATTACATATCTACTTTAATGGAACAAGAGATTAAATATTTTTTTTATAAAACTCATCTACAATTTTATATCACAAATAGTAAAAGTATAAGATTCCCTTGATGCATTTATAAACATAATGACTTTTGACAATGGTATTAGATTTCATTATTTAGACACCCATATTTTTATTATTTGCAATATAAAACTGCAGATGAATTTTGTAAAAAAAAAAAAATTGTTTAATCTTTTCTCATTAAACAGTATGATAAATAAATTTTTCTCTTTTCAGTTCACTAATTATTCTGGAAGTTTTAAATAAAAGCTTACATTACAAAAATTTTATTTACTTACTTTTAATTTTCCATTTTTTGTCTTAATTACAAGTTATTTCTACAATTAAAATAATTAAGGATCACTAAGTATGCATGAATTTATGTTCCTCGCATTGTGGTAAAATGGCAGCACCCAGAGCCACCAAATTTTTAAACATGCATCATTTTTCCATCCAAACATGTACCTTGAAGTCCAAATTTTGGATTTCAGACTTATATTTTATTTATTTTATATTTTGGATAGAAAAACGTAACATATCTATGTTATAAGGTATTTCTCCCATCTTCTTAGCATGCCTTCATGGTGTAGTAGTCAGCATACTCAGTGCATATTCAAGAGGTCCTAGGTTTGAGTCGCGGCGAGGGCATTGCTCATTTTCATGTCTTCTGCTTTCATGTCTGCTGCTTACAGACCGCCACAATATACAAATAGTGATTTAGTGACTGGCACCAGTATCTAATACCTTTGAATAATCTTGAATAATAATGAATGTGTGTACAACACTGATAGCCCTATTGCATGTACATACAAGTATTATTTAACGAAACTGTATTATGCCAATTATCTGTATTATGTTAACTAACTGAACTGTACAATGTAATTAGCATTATCTGTATCGGCATATATGTATCTGTATCTACATATCTTCTGTACCTTATATCATTTATCTCGTATCATCCTGTATCATGCAAACTATTCAACACTCTGTATCATGTATTCTGACAACCGCATATATTATCTCGTATCATCCTGTATCATATAACTTATTCAACTTATCATGCGCCTTGTATAAAGTATCCTGGCATTAGCAAAAATTTGTATTTCCAGCATCTAGTATCATATATTTTGCAAAATCTTAGTTATGTAACTTATTCTGGATCCAGTATCATGTATTCTGGTATCTGCATATATAATCTCGTATCATCCTGTAGCATGTAACACATTCTGCACCATGTATCATGGTATCTGCCTATATCAGTATCTTCTGCACCTTGTAATCATATATCTTGTAACATCCTGCAATATGCAACCTATGTTGTACAATGTTCCCTGTACATTTTACAACATAGGTTGTATGTGTATGTATAACTGTATGTTTAACAAATCTCTAGTATCATCCTGTAACCCTGTATGTCTTAACAAATATCTCGTATCGTATAATATATATCATATTTCTCGTATCATCCTTTAATATGTAACCTATTTTGAACCTTTGTTTCTTAAGTATGTGTATGTCACCTTATGCATGTCCTTATATCTGTCACCTTATGTATCTACTGCACCTTATGCTCTACGTATCATGCATCCTGGCATCTGCCAATATTTGTATCTTCTGCATATTGTAACATATATCTCACATAACCCTGTATCATGCATCTTATTTTGCACCTTCTACCATGTATCCTGGGCACTTATATCACTTTGCACCTCGTATTATATATCTTGGCATCTGCATATATCTGTATCCACAGTATCTTGTATCGTATATCTCGCAACATCATGTAACTGATTCTGCTCCTATATATCTTATATTCATAAGTATGTGTACGTCACCCTATGTGTGTCACCTTAGATATGTTCTTATGAATGTCCCCCTTACACATCTCATGCATCCATATTCCTACGTAAGATGTATTTAGGCATCTGAATATATATGTATCTTCTGCACAGTCTATCTGTAGCCACTGTATGTTCTTATGTATCATGCATCTAGGCAATAAAGGTGGATAAAGGTGGATGTGGCCCTATACCGATTAACCGTATTGGTAGAGATGGTGCCCACGTCCTCCGTTGCATGTCTTCTGCTTCCAAAATATCTTAATGTCTCTACAGTGGCACCCGAAATAAAAAAAGGTGGTGGATGATGATTCTTCACCACCAAGATTTAGCGATTGAGTTCCCTAATCCCCAGTCGCCCTTTAAAAGGGGGAGTATATAAGGTAATTCTCCCATCTCCTTAGCATGCCTTTGTTGTCAGTACACTCAGCGTAAATTCGAGAGGTCCGAGGTTCTAGTCTCAGCGAGGGCATTGCTCATTTTTCATCTCTCCTGCTTTGAAATAACCTAATGTCTCTACAATATTTTAGATTTAATCTAAAAACTAGTTACCATTCAGCAAAGCATAAGATATTTATCCTTCAAATTTAAGCAGAAAACTTTGTTATTTAAAAGAAATATGTCACTATTCGAAAAGCATACGATATTTGTATTTCAAATTTAAACAGCAAATTTAGCAATTTGAAAGAAATATGCTGCCACTGTCCAAAAGAAATATATATATATATATATATTCCAGCTACCAATGTGTTAACATAAGCCAAAGTATAAGATACTAAATTTTTCTTTTAAATTTAATCGGTTTATTACTGATTAACAAACTGTGTGATATAAAAGCAATAAATGCAGTTCTTCATCTTTAGTATCATTAATTACTAAATGGCTTGATTAAAACCGATAATTTTTCTTTTTTTAAAATCAATTGTTTTAAGCGGCTAGCCAGACAAGTGACTAGCCAATAAAATTGCTCAACTGAAACATTTTTTCCAATAATCTCCTGAATTTTAAATTCTTCAGGTGACTTTACTGAGATCAATGCATGATTGTCCTGAGAATATTTTTTTCTCAAATAAATTACAATACTTAGCATGCATTCAGTCTGGCAGGTTATGCATGAAAGTCCAAAGACTGGACCCACAAGCTGCTAGTTTAAAAAATAGTGTAGAAAGTGACCTCATTAATATTTTTTTCATTGTGTGAAATGAGCATGAAAATTAAGTTTTCTATGCTGTAAAAATTCCATGTCTTTATAACAGAAACATTTTTTGAAGTTAGAATGTTAAAATTCGATAAAAAGAATATAATATTATAGTGGCTCTCAAAAGTGTTCGTACACTTATGAATTTCATTGAAATAGGGCTGTATCCATTAATTAAAAGTAAACTTTCTGAATGAGATTTTAATAATAAGATCTATAATCTATTCGTAACAAAATTACATTCCCCCCCCTCCTGTATCAACATTCACTCATTCTTTCATTCCATGGTTGTTTTGAGTTTGCTTTTCGTTTTGATGTTGTGTTTTCGTACTTTAACCTCCAGCTCTTTCCACATGTGTTCTATGGGGTTTAAATCTGGCGACTGAGGTGGTGTTTTCAAAACCTGTGGGCAATTATAGAGACACTACAGGCGAGCGCTGAGAGCTGTATACTTACGATCGTTATCATGATTAAAAAGTTGTTTCCAATACCAAATTTTGGGCTCATAATTTAAAATTCACTCTTAAAATATTTAAATAAAGAGAATGATTCATTATGCCATCAATAAATACCAAATTACCTAGTCCTGAAGCTGTCATGCCCCCCCTCCACATAAGAACACCTTCACCGCCATGCTTAACTGTTCCAACTAAGTTCTTAGAATGAAGTTCCTCATTTTTCCTTCTCCATACAGTTATTCGACCATCAGAACCAAAAATGTTAAATATGCTTTCGTCAGCAAATAGGACATTATTCCAGTACGTTTCGGGTGTATTTATCATTGATTCTGCGAATGAAAGCCTAAGCTTTCTGTTTTTCTCACTAACAAAATTCTTTTTACAGGCAGAACGCCCATGTAATCCAGCTTCTCTGAGAACTTGTCGAACAGTTTAAGGTGAAATTGAAGTAGAAAACTTTGCATTAAATTCTGCAGAAACTTTTACAGCACTCAAACGTGGGTTTTTCACAAATTTTCTAATAATAAATCTCTCATCATGTTTAGTTAACGTTCTTGGTTGATCTTTTCTTACCTTGTTTTCAATCCGATTTTCTTTAAAGCATTTTATTCCATACTGCACTGTAGAATGGGATAAATTAACTAATTTAGTGATATTTCGAATTGATTTACCACTACTATGGTGAAAAATGATCAGTTTTTGAATGCTGTTTGTAATTTCTTTACGACTGCGACCCATTTTCCAATAATAAATAGAATATTATGAAGTAAACAATAAAAAGTTAAAGCAAACAATTTTGTGAATGCCAACACAATGCAAAAATTTAAAAAAGCGGCAAAAGATAATTCTAATTTTGATTTTATCAAAAAATATTTCGGTGTACGAAGACTTTTGTGAGATAAAATGTTTATGATTTTTTTATTATTAATTTCTTATAAATAAAGGTTCACTATATTTAAAAAATATTTCATGTAATTTTGTTATGAATAGATAATAGATCTTATTATTAAAATCTCATTCAGAAAGTTTACTTTTAATTAATGGATAGAGCCCTATTTCAATGAAAATCATAAGTGTACACACACTTTTGGGAGCCACTGTATATTTCATAATAAACTTAAGATCACCTTTTAAAATGAAATCAGTAAAAAAAATTATATAAATGATAAATCTGAAATATAAATGACATGACAAATTTCACTGCAAATAATGTTAAACTCACATTTTTACAAAAAAAAAAAAAAAAAAAAAA